TCACATTGGTCAGTTGTGCAGGAGTCCTGGATTTCCTGCAATAGTTTCCCATGCAAAACCAGCACATTCTCAAAGTCAAACTTTCTAAACCCAAAGAGCAGAGCTGACCTGGCTTGGGCACTGCCAGGGATCCAGGGAAGCCACAGCTGCTCTGGGAATTCCAGCCCAGGGAACAATTCCATCCCAAAATCCCATCCATCCCTGTCCCCTAGCAGGGTGATAATTAGCATTGATCCCATGATTCACAGAATGCTGATCAATATCTATCTTTTCTAAGAAACCCATTGCTTTTATAGACAGTTACAATACAGACAGACTTAATTGGTTCCTCTAATCAAAACCCCATCACCACTGGTTAATTAAGAAACCACCCTTTGGTAAACAAATCTCCATAGCACATTCCAAACGTTCACAGCAACAGGAGCAGCGAGTGAAGATAAAAATTGTTTCTCATTCTTTTCTCTGATCCTCTCTCAGCCTTTCTCAGCACAATGCCTGGGAAAGCTGGGCTGCTCTCTGTGGCCAGAGAGCTGCTGCCACACAGCCCTGCCCTCTGGCAGAGGAAGCCATGCCCTGTGCCCTGTGGGCAGCTATGCCCTGTGTTCCATAGGGAGCCATGCCCTGTGTACCCTGGGCAGCCATGCCCTGTGTCCCGTGGGTGCCCTGTGTCCTATAGGAAGCCATTCCATGTCCCTTGGGCAACTGTGCCCCCTGGGCAGCTGTGCCCTGTGGGCAGCCATGCCCTGTATCTCATAGGAAGTCATTCCCTGTGTACCCTGGGCAGCCATGCCCTGTGTTCCATAGGGAGCCATGCTCTGTGTCCCTGTGGGCAGCCATGCTCTGTGCCCTATAGGAAGTCATGCCCTGTACCCCACAGGCAGCTGTGCCCTGTGCCCCAAAGAAAACCATTCCCTGTGCCCCCTGGGCAGCCATGCCCTGTGTCCCTGTGGGTAGCCATGCTCTGTGTCCCTGTGGGCAGCCATGCTCTGTGTCCCATGGGAGGCCATTCCTTGTGCCCCCTGGCAGCCATGCCCTGTGCCCTGTGTCCCACAGGAAGCCATTCCCTGTGTCCTGTGGGCAGCCATGCCCTGTACCCCACAGAAAACCATTCCCTGTGCCCCATGGGCAGCCATGCCCTGTGTTCCATAGGGACCCATGCCCTGTGCCCCATGGGAGGCCATTCCTTGTGCCCCCTGGGCAGCCATGCCCTGTGTCCTGTGCCCCACAGGCAGCCATGCCCTGTGCCCCATAGGATGCCATGCTGTGTGTCCCCTGGGCAGCCATGCCCTGTGCCCTAGGCAGCCATGCCCTGCGTTCCATAGGAAGCCATGCCCTGTGCCCTGTGTTCCCTGGGCAGCCATGCCCTGTGCCCCATAGAAAACCATTCCCTGTGCCCCCTGGGCAGCCATGCCATGTGTCCCATAGGATGCCATGCCCTGTGCCCCCTGGGCAGCCATGCCCTCTGTTCTGCTCAGATTTACCCACTCAAGGGAAACGTTGTTGGGATCCAGGTCCTTCCCCGTGCCTTGGTGAACAACCTTCATGGAGAGGGAGAGCTTCAGCTTGTCATCCTTCATCTGCAAAGCACACAATGAGCAGAGTGTTAAATGGGACCCAACAATGTTAATGAACACCCAGGGTATTGGATTTTAATTAGGGTTACCTCTCTCCCAATGAGCTTCACCCAGACCTTGTCCCCCACGTCGAGCATCTCTGCGGGTTTGTCCACGGGGCAGGAGGACATGTGGGACCTGTGCACCAGGCCTGGGGGGGACACAGGGGACACAGTCAGGCCCAGGGGATGGGACAGAAGGGACACAGTCAGGCCCAGGAGATGGGACAGAAGGGACACAATCAGCCCCAGGGGAAGGGACAGAGGAGGAGGAAGTTGGGTAAACTGCAGAATTTCTACAGTTCTGCCATTACCTTTAAATCAATCTCTAAAATATCCTGAAGTTCCCCAAACCTCCACTAAAATCTGAAGGTAAAAAAAACCCCAAAATATCCAGAATTTCCCAAAATTCCACCCCAACTATCCTGAAGTTGCCAAAAACTCCTTTGAGTATTTTTCTGCAATCATGCAAAAGACCATCAACTTCTAAATGCTTTCCAAATTCCTTCCCAATTTAGGAAAAATTCATTCTCTGAGCTTTTTCAGAAAGCCTTTAATTCTGAGCTGGCTGCTTGCCTTGGCCACAGCAACAATGAAATAATTTCACACACACCAACCTTGTTTCCTGCAGCCTGGGATTTTGATAAAGGCTCCATAATCTGTCACTGCAGCAACCTGGAGAGAAAACCCAGAGCAGAGACTGAGGAAATCCCTTCCCAAAGAGAGCAGAAGCTGCACAGCAAACCTGCCCTGCTCACTGAGCTGGAGATTGGCACAGAATCAGGGAAAGGTTGGGCTGGAGGGACAT